GATCTCGTGCCGCCTGTCTGGAGATGTGGAGGGAGGAGCGCTTTCTCCGGCAGCGTACACGTGTCACCGGACGCCGGGGTCACGCGGCTCCGATGGCCCGATGACGGATATCCGCCGATGGCCGCAGCGGCCGCCGGAGAGGGGCGCTTTCTCTGACACTGTTCGCGAGCGTGACCCTGCAGGCTGAAACCACAGTCCTCGCTGCCGGAGGAGATTGATTCTATATTGGTGTTTTCCTGGGGCTTGCCGAATATGTGGCAAGGGCCCTTTTCAACAGATGCTGTCTGAATAGAATTATCCACAAACAGCTAGCTCGGAGCTCTGCTTTCTCTCCGCGCTTGTACACCTATATCAGTTTCATCCATTCTACCCTGTGCAAGCAACGGGTGACTGATCATCACCGACGTAACGACACCATTTAATTCACCCTGGACTGATTCCGAGTCGAGCGTCGTGCACTTACTTTGCTTTTGCAGGGCTGCTGCCAGGCTTTAGGTGTGTTCACTGTCCACGACTCCTGCGCTGCATCCGCGTTTGCAACTCTCTGCTCCTGGCGCGCTGCCTCTTCCCTCACGCCGCGCTCACGACCGTGCCGTCTCTGTTTCAGCCTGGACCGGGGGGAGCCGGACGGTCTGATGGCCCAGGCGCGGCAGCTGCAGAAGGCCATCGAGCGGCGAGAGTGCGCCCTCTTCAGCTGCGGTGGCGACACGGTCGACCCCAGCCGCATCAAGGTCGTCCCCAGCTCAACGTCAGGCGCCGATGGTGACAAGAAGCGCCGGCCAACCGAGCTCAGGCCACGCTAGATCGGGTCTGAGCAGACCCTCAGGCCGCGCAGGTCTGATCTGAGCAGACCCTCAGGCCGCGCCATGTCCGGTCTGCTCGAGTCAGACCGCGTCAGATCCGGTCTGCTCAAATCCAGACCTTATCAGGTCCGGTCTGATCAGGTGCAGGCCTCGCTTGGCCTGGTTTGACCAGATGCAGACCTCGCTCGGCCCGGTTTGACCAAGCTCAGGTCCCACGAGGCCCAGTCTGACCAAGCCCAAGTCCCCAGAGGCCCGGTCTGACCAAGCTCAGGTCCCGTGAGGCCCGGTTTGACCAAGCTCAGGTCCCCTGAGGCCCGGTCTGATCACACCTTTGGTCGCACTCCGACGTGGCGGTATCAAACCGGGACTCCGCCGATTACCGAGGCTACGCCGGCGTCTATCGAGTGGCATGACGCAGAATCAGAACTCTCCACTGTGTCGGGACGGAACCCGTGGATCTGCTGTGCGCTGTGGTCGACTCCCGTGCCGTGGCTCCAACTCCAAGGGTCACGGACGCGACACGGGGAGACCGCTGCCTCCGGTCAGCGCCGCTGACTCGTCCTTCGCGCCAGGCTTGCTTCAAAGACAGGTCATCAACACCCGCGGTGCTTTAACAGCGATGAACCGAGCACTCATGTCCAGCGGCCCGGCATCCAGGACCGCGCGGCGCCTAGCTGGCTTGTTCCGGGACTGCGGTGGCTGGGCGCCGCACGTGGGCGGCTCGGAACCGGCGCGTCGTGACGGAGCCGACCCGGGGTCACGACCCGCGGCGGGCGGCGCCTGACCTCTGACCTGGGCCGGATGTGGCGGACGGAAGCGGCCGGCGCGCTCCGCCCCGCGCTCGAGCCCTCTCGCGGCCCGGATCCGCACCGACCCCCGTTGCGGAGAGGTGCTGGCCGGCGGCCGTTCCGTGCGCTGTGTCTCGCTGCTGCGCGCGCCTATCGGTCGGCGTCGGATCCGACGGGCACCGGCTCGGTCTGACGTGAATCGCTCTGTTGCCGTGTGGCGATTAGTACGGAGGGGTTCGCACGGCTGTTGCGTTGCTCGCCGTGTTGTTCTGAACACTCTTCAGTGTTCTTTGTTGTTCATGTTTGGAAAGGCTTCGCCCGGGTTCAAACAGGCGAATGAAATAGGTCGCCAACAGGCTCCACCGATTTTGCATGCGTGATGATATTCCCGTTGTGGTTGGGCTACAACACCACCGCGTTGCTGCCGTACCGCCGACCGTTTCGTGTCAGGTGAACCGGCGGTTTTCGTTCGCATATGTTGATTATTTATTTCGCACTAATTACTGTCATATATACATGATCGGAACGTCGCACGGTATTGGGAAGCCCGCCAGAGCTTGGTCCCCGATATGACGCCTCGGCTCATGCCATTGTCCCGATGCGTTGTTGGCCGACCGTTGAACTATGGAAGCTTGCACCCCAGGCGGTATTTGTACTCCCAAAGGGAAACCACTAAGCAGTAACGCAGACCATCCGGATAGCTGGATCCACGTGCTCAACACAGTTGTGCCGTTTGCTGCACCTAAGTCATCGCACGTACACAAGTGTAAGAGCGTGCTCAAATGGACGTGTCCACGAGCTATTGCGCAGTTAAGGGAGCGTTCTGCTCGCTGTGTGTTCATCATGTTGTGAGACAGTGTGTTTGGCAGATATGTAAACTGTGTGGGTTGTTATATGTAGCCTGATCAACAGTGTAGGTGCCTCGACAGCAACAGCAATGTATGTGAATAAACATCAATCCTGTGTAAGGCTTCTCGACGGACCTAACGGAGCCCATCTTGTAATATGATGACTGGAAGCTGATGATCAAACTAACGCAAAATCTTACGCCACGATGAAGCTCTGCAGTTAGTAAGCACTGCAACAAAAACTACTATAAATAATGCATGCTGTCTTCGCCTGCTTTGCCAGAGAACTCGAAGCGAAGCATAGAAGTTATAATGTTTTTTTTTCGGATCCACACCTCCACAGGTCACCTTTAGACTTCCATACACTTTTGTTACCTCCACAGACCTAAGTTGAGCCCTCGACAGCGCTAACCACAGCGTCCTCCTGACCAAGCTACGGTCGTACAGCACAAATCCTCAATGGTTTAAAAGTTGTTTTGAGTTATTTTAATGGACAATGACGGGTGGTGAGAGGTGGTTCACTATCCCGTCACTCCTCCCACGGCGTCCCTCAGGGGTCACTTGTGCGCCCAATCATCCCCAGCATCTTGACGAATGACCTCCCATTCTACCTGCCCCACGGGCGTCTGGTTTCCTACGCCGAAGATGCCCAGCTCTCCGACTCCGCCCAACCCGACCACCTGTCCATCCAAAAATTGCGACAGGGGGAAGCCATCATCGCCCTCAGTCCCACTTAACCGTCAATTCCCTGAAGATAAACCCTACCAAGACCGTATTTCTTCTAGCCGACACGCCCCAGGTCATCAGAGACCGCATCCTTCCATCATAACATCTCCAACGTCATTTCACCTCCATCACCGTCCGCGAAGATGCTGTGAGTGGCCTTTGATCGCGCCCTGTCCTGGTAGGAACACATCCAAACTGGCCGAAAGGTGCAACTTCATCATGTTTTATGTCTGCGAAATTTGTCACCACCGGACACTCGAAGCCCGCGAACTCCTTATTCAGGCCACGTTTTCCTTCATTTTCTGTACTGCCTCTAAGGCTGGGGCGGGCCTGCCGCCTGCTATCTCGGCCGGATGCAAAGAGTCGCCAGTTTTGCGGCCAGGATCGTCTCGGGGGCGCGGGGTCGAGATCGTGTTTCACCGGTCGTAAGGTCGCTGGGCTGGCGCGGAACCAGTGACCTTGTTACGCGCGGCAACCACATCGGAGTTTGCAGGGCCCTAAAAGACCTCCGTGCTCCGATGGCGGTCCGGCCGCTGTTCACCCCTCGAACCGCTGTGAGTGAGCGCATCACGAGGTCGACGGTAGCTGGCGCTTTCGAGCTGCCCGGATTCCGGCTATTTATGTCGCGTAAGGAGTTTTTAAATCGTGCGGCTTCGTCCTGGAAGCAGCTGCCGCCGGACGTTATCACCCCGGACGTTATGATCCCAGAGCCGTGCTGCGCTCATATTTAAAATTGACCAATGTGAAAAGAGGGATTTGCTTGACTTTGAAGGCCTTCTTCAAGTTCCCGACGTGTTGTCATCATTCCTGCATTTTTGTTTTCATCGTTTTAGTTGTAACCCATTGACTCGGATAAAGCATTAAGCAATACATATCGAACTGATCTGAGCTGAGCATAACGGATGAGCCGATCCGATCAGGCAGCTGAGTAGTCATGCACTAAAACCATGCATATTGAACGCAAATTTGCCTCTCAAATCCCCTTCAAACACCTCATCCCACGTAGCTACAGGACCTACCATGCACCACCTCCGTTGACCGCCTGCGTCGGCAGTTTTACATTGGCGGAGCTTCGCTATCAAGGGTTAGATTTGTGGCTGTTATTGGAGCAAATCTAGTCCGCAAAGGATTTGCTGACGAGTTGTACCCACATGCACACACACGCATACAAACATGCATACAAATATATACATACATTATGTACATATTTGTTATTATGTGTATATATATATATATATATATATATATACCATTTCAACTTTGGCTGACAGTATCTTTTTCATCACAGTTGATGCTTGCCTTACTACGTTCAAACGTGAAACATTCCCTCAAGAGAAAGAGGAATATCTGTAACGCATCCGGGATTATCTTTCTGGTTCCGTGACTGATGGTTGATGATGATTGTACTGACACAAACGGTCGAGAGCTCTCAGAAATGATTGCGTGGACTAGAAACGTTATTCAAATCTGGCATGTGGCCGAATGGTTTAGCTATAAACGCACCATTTTACGTCGCAATATGTATTGAGTGCGTCTGCGTGTCACCGACGGAGCATCTTACCTCACTGAAAACGTGGCATTTTGATCCACTTGAAATCCTCCGACCACGTCAAGTGAAAAACACTTTCTCTTGATAGCGGCTGAGCCCCCACCGCACAACACTCAGCTCATCCCTGGCTGCCGGTCCCGTCCCCTGTCCATCCCCGGTCCGAGAGGAAAAGCGCCGGAGATATGATCACGTGCCGGCGCCCCTGACGGATGCCTGCTGACAGATTCGGGTCAGGCCGGCCGGCGCCGCCCCTGCGCACCGTCTGCCGTCAGAAGGGGCGCCGCCGTGAGACGATCGTGACGCACGTGCGCCGGCAGACGTGCAGTGGCGCGGTCCTGACGGCCGCGCAGCGTGCGTTCTCAGACTCCGCGACAATGAACGGTAGGTGACCCTGCGCACAGCCCGAGGGGGCGGAGATTTGGCCGCACAAGAATGCGCGTCGGTGAACAAAAAAGTGCATTGTCATCGCCGACCCATAGCCGTAAGGTAAGTGGAAGATTACATTCAAGCCATCAGCCTGTTGGTGATTTTCCGGTTGTTCGTCTCACATGAGTAAGTTGTTTCGCTTGATGAACGGCCGGCGATCTAGCGCTAGTGCTGGCCGGCTGGTGACCTGGTGCTGGTCGGCAGGTGACCTGGCGCTGGCCGGCTGGTGACCTGGTGCTGGTCGGCAGGTGACCTGGCGCTGGCCGGCTGGTGGCCTGGTGCTGGCCGGCTGGTGACCTTGCGCTGGCCGGCTGGTGACCTGGCGTTGGCCGGCAGGTGACCTGGCGCTGGCCGGCTGGTGGCCTGGTGCTGGCCAGCTGGTGACCTGGTGCCGGTCGGCAGGTGACCTGGCGCTGGCCGGCTGGTGGCCTGGTGCTGGCCGGCTGGTGACCTGGCGCTGGCCGGCTGGTGACCTGGCGCTGGCTTCATCGCTCACTTCGTGGATGAGAAATTCATGTATCTGTCCGGACCGTGGCTGGCGTGGTTGCAGTTCCCACCACACATTAATTGAGAGCGCGACGCCCTTAGTGAATATTCCCTGCATCAATCAGCCGATCAGTCTGACCCGAAATGAGGGGATGCCCTTCAGCCGCGCAACGCCGGGATCTGCTTGTTTGCTAGCGGGTCGTCGATGATGCCGCGCATTGGATGAATGTCACAATTTTCCTCGACTGATGCCCAATTTACATTCAATGTGGTATTAAGATCCGGTAATGGAGCTGAAATAAGTGAGTCATGATTCCTGCTGCCTTCTAGGCTTCTAGGCATTTGTGCAAAAATGGTTACACAAACGCCGAAGGCATTTCCATTACAGAAGTCAATTGTAAGTGATAAGCGGTTAGTGGCCGTGAAGACTTAAGGCTAAAGGCTGTAAAGGGCTGCAGCAGTCTGGTGATGGACCACTTTGGACAGTTGAGCGATAAGATCTGTCGTGATAATACCGTAATGCTCTTTCGAGATAATCAGGTATGTTTTTGTCTATTGATGTATTTGAAGTGCGGAGGGACGGTATAATGGGTTCCGCACGGTTCCTTACCAGGACAGAACCAACCGCAGAGCGGAGGTGTATGTTACAGTTGCGATTTCATGTTCCGACCAGAAGCCGACAAACGCATTATCTGTCATTTTGACAAATATTTTGACCCCAAGTTCACACTAAATTCAGATTAGCACTGGAAGAAATAATTTGCTTCCAAAGAGACCCCGAAACAAAGCAAACCAGGACATTGGAAAAGCATGTTTACCCACGTGTACAGCATTACACGGAAAGCGAGCACGGTATTCAGTATATCACTGGTGCTATTGCTTCAAGACTTGTAGCGCTCTTTAAAGACATATCACAGTGACATAAATTCAACTGATAGATTCATGCTAATCTCATCTATTTCTTCTAACCCTATTTTCGTGTGATAAATTTCGCTTGAATAATGTACGGTCGTTAATTTTCTCCCCTAAGATCTCTAAATCGGCTTATGTAACCCTAGGGGTGAACTGACGGTCACAGCTCGCACTCTGTGACAGGAAAGCGTTTCGAAAATGCCCTCAGTGGTGCATTCAGGAGAAGAATGTGCACTATAAAAAAATTTGTTCATTGCATGTTTAGCGGACCTAACCGATATGCTACATCAAACATCGATTTAACAACCAATGTGAAGAGTTAGACCACGAATGCAAGCGACCCTTGTGCCAATGGCAGACACGGGGATGCCTTTGAATTTAGGGGACGTAAATCTCCCACCCCATCTTGTTCTGCTTATTTTGCTAAGAATAGCTAAAAATGCAGCCATTTATTTGAAACACAAATATACCAGAAAAAAACTTTTGAAATGTGAGGTAGAAACTCAGGCCTGTTTAACGGGGCATTACAGCCATTTTTGGTTTAATGATTCCAATGCTCACAGTGTTTGGAGTCAGTTTGGGTTCAGGAAAAGTCACCAAGCCTCAGGGTGTCTTAGGATCTCAGGGCCCGTGTCGTTTTTCACCTTGTTTTGTTTCATTTCCACCTGATGATCGATCCAGTAATGATTCGCTTCCCACACAATCAACAGTGAAAATGAGCCGCGCGTATTTTTAACTCGTATTGTGGACATGATCATAAAAGCGGCTGATGGTTCCATGGAAATGTTGGACAAAACAAATGTATTCGGACAACATAAGAAAGTCTCATGGCTGAATTTTCGGCATATCGCTTGTGCCTTAACACGCTATGTATAGGTGGGCATCCTCTCACTTTGGTGAAAATGTTTCCACCCGGTTGATAATGCTTGCTGTGATGCTTAGAATGCCTCTGCAAAAAGCACCAGAGGTCGATGGATCTTTGCGTGGAAGTAGGGTTATCTCCAATTCAATCTACAACCTAATATAGATCCAACTTTTCAAGAGTTCCAAGTTCAGAGGGGTCCAACACATCACATCCAAATCAGACCACTGCATAACTCGTATGCACTCATCGCATTTCACTGTTTTGACGTAATATCAACATAAGCATATGCATACGCATTTGCTGCCTCTTAAAATAATTTTAGGCTTTACAAGCCGTTGCAATCCGGTTGCGTACGTTAAATTAATCTGATCTCGTCCAGAGCTGTTCCTTTTGGAATTTTGTTGCTGAGCAAGTCTGGTCCAAGCCAGGAATGTATCCAATAATACGGGTATATCTCAAGAAACCCACAAGTTTTAACTGCCAATATATATCCGGTAGTGTTGTTTTATGCAATTGCAATATACCAAGCTGCTGATAAATGTATGATATACAAATAAATGAGCTGTTCTGTACATAGGAAGTTCAAATATAAGTCAACACACACACACCGCACACACACACACACACCACCACACACCACGCACACACACACCACACCACACACACAACACCACACCCGCACGGACAATTCTATATTATATATACTATATATATATATATATATATATATATATATATATGTATGTATGTATATATATATATTTTCATAAATATATATATATATATAATATAGAGAGAGAGAGAGAGAGAGAGAGAGAGAGAGAGAGAGGGGAGAGAGAGAGATCTTCTCTCTCTCTCTCTTCTCCCTCTTCTCTCTCTCTCTCTCTCTTCTCTCTCTCTCTCTCTCTCTCCTACTCTATCTCTCTCTCTATATCTCTCTCTCTCTCTCTCTCTCTCTCTCTCTCCTCTCTCTCTCTCTCTCTCTCTCTCTCTCTTTAGCCGTAAATCATGGTTTCTCGTACACTACCTCATTCATGACGTATACAGCTTTACCTGTCAGCTCATGGCTCACTGGTTGATTGGTAAGCCATGGTCTGTAACGTCAGGCGATGTCAGCAGCCACATTTCTCATCTCAGAAGGATCACGACGGTGTGTCATCAATCACCATACCACATTGGATCTGCGGCAGCATCACCTTTCTTTTCTTCTTGGAGTTCCAAAAGAGGGAAGCGGTCTTCTCGCCGATACATGGCGGTCGACCCTGCGGCGTTAGCAAGGAAGGCTGGACAGGCAACTCGGTGAATGAAGCAATATCTCGCTGGGTTTCCGAATGTTTAGACGTAATCGGCTTATGTGTTCTTGCGCGGGCCCAGAGGCAATTGCTTCTGGATGGCGTTTTATCGTTCCTATCAGCATACTTTTCACCCAATGTCCTGTCAGACCGGACACAGGCCCGGGCATCGAACATACTACACCGTGTTCTGTCATAAGAGCTCAGTAAGTTTCAGGAACTTATGCTTTGAGGTATAACCGGGTCTTCTGTGTAATCATCAAATAAATGCAATGTGTCGCAAAGGTCACCGTAGTAAACATGCCTACTTCATGTGGCCTAATTTAACGCCCCTGAGTAAGGTGCGCACTTGCGTTTGTTGACGTTTGCCGAAATATAGTTTTAAGACCTTGGTCGAAAGCGCAGCGCATGGCATTAATATACATGGACTCGGAGAAAGTACCATGCCGGTAAGTGTCAGGCTCTTAAGCTACCAAATACCAGCCTCTGGTGCATCGGAGCGCATAGCGTGGTTGCTTTTCTTCCCGAGCAGGGATACACGCAGGGGCGGGGGGAGGGGGGGCACAGGGAGCGTGCACCTGTTAAATCCCAAGGGGCCTGTGGGATTGACGAGCAAGGGCCCGGTCGGAGAGCCCGGAGTGCCCGAAGGACTGGCTTTTGGCTGCATAGGGACCCCGTTCCATATGTTCGAGCGCTTAAGTGCTAGTCAGACAGCCTTTTGCACCAAAGGGGGCCCATGAGACAATGCGGGCCTCTATATCTACCTGTGTCGGCCGGTTATGTTGGCCAATTCTATGGCAGCCAAAGCAATCAGTGAGTCAGGGGTCCCAGTGCCGAACTCTACTCTAAAATCCTTTTGCGCAATGAGGACACTGTGTCGATCTGAGGCCAATTGCCCAGTTCGGAATGCCTACCGCGTCAGTGAAGAGACCGAAATGTAGTGCATCCCTCAATGTGTCGTATTTTCCAGGGCACCCCGCCCCGGTAGCCATGGTAGCAGAAATAAAAATCGTGATACCTGTTATGTCTGTCCGGTGGAGAACCGTAAGTTTGGAAGAGCGCTGTGCTATGATAATCGCAGTTTCGTTCGCCCTTTCCAGCCCTTACCGGAGCGCTGGGCGCATTCTGCTTGATTTTGAGCCTGGAGGCCACGGACCTCAACCAATCGTTCGACAAACTGGCACTAGATGCCGCTGCAGACAGCCAGCGAGACGATAGCACCAGCGCGGCACCAGGCGGCGCGCAGTCGCGTGCGGCGAGAGACACGCACTCGTCGCTCATCAGTCAGATGGCAGAGCCGGGCGTCTTCTCCGAGTCCCTCTCCAGCCCGCGCTTGGTGGATGTGACCTCCGTCCCGACGCCGGCCCCGGCGCGGTCCGCTAAGCCGTCGCTGTTCGACGCCATGCCGGACCGGGGCGCCAGTGCCGACTTCCCGGTGACGTTCTCCCCCCTGCAGCTGGACGAGCAGTACGGTCCGCCCAGCGTGCCGTTCGGCGCCGCAGACGCCGCCTACGGGCAGAGCTCGGACGCGGCGCTGGCGGGCCTGATCCGGCGCTACCTCGGCGCCAGCGCCGGCCGAGCTGCTTCGGCAGCGCCCGCCGATCAGCGCGGCTCCCCGGCAGCTCCCGCCAGCGCCTTCAAGAGCCCAGGAGCTGCGGCAGGCCCGCGGCCGCTACCGGAGACCTACGGTCTTCCACAGCAGGCGACTCCTGCTGCGTTCTCGGTCCAGCCACCCAGCCCCGCGCCCAGTCCAGTACAGAGCTACGTCGCACCGCTAACCACGTTCACCACGTACACAGTGCAAGCGCCTGGCGCAGCTCCTATCCCCGCACAGAGCTATAACATCCCCCAGGCGGCTCCTGTACCAGTCCAGAGCTACAGCTTACCCCAGGCGGCTCCTGCACCAGTCCAGAGCTACAGCTTGCCCCAGGCGGCACCTGCACCAGTCCAGAGCTACAGCTTACCCCAGGCGGCACCTGCACCAGTCCAGAGCTACAGCTCACCCCAGGCAGCACCCATCTTGTACTCGGCGCAGCAGCCGGGTACAGTTCTCACCCCGGCGGGCGCCGCGCCCGTGCAGAGCTACGGCTCGCCTGCGAGACAGTCCCCCGTGCTGGCCGTGGCGGCGCCAACACTGCAGCAGCCGGCGGCCACCTACAGCGTCGTTCAGCAGCCGAGCCTGTCCGTCCCCAGTCCAGCGCCATCCTTCGTCGTCCAGAACCCCGTCGCCGCCGTGCCCCACTCGTACAGCACCCCTGCGCGGAACCCGCTGCTCACCCCGCAGCTGGCGTACGTCACACCCGTGGGCGGAGGCGCCCTCGGCGTGCAGCGTGACAGCAGCCGCGGGAGCGACTCGAGCAAGGGGCTTGTCATCTCGCTGGGCGGCGCCTCGATCCAGCTGGGAGGCGACTCGGGTACCAGCATCCGATTAGACGCGGGAGGCCGCTCGAGCAGGGACGAAGGCGCGTCAGGAGCGGGCAGCAGCATCACCATCATCGCCGGCGGGGCGGCGGCGCAGGCCGCTCCGTCTGCGCCTGTACCGCCACCCAGGACGGGCTTTGCCGCACGGTCCAATCGGAACGATGCCCCGAGGGATCCGCCGGCACCGCCCTCCTCGTACGGACCCCTCTCGAGACCCACCGTCCTCCCTACTCACCGCCGGCAAGGGACCCACCGTCATCCTACTCACCACCAGCTAGGGATCCACCGTCATCCTACTCACCACCAGCTAGGGATCCACCGTCCTCCTACTCACCACCGGCTAGGGACCCTCCGTCTTCCTACTCACCACCAGCTCGAGATCCTCCGTCCTCTTACGCCCCAGCTCGAGACCCTCCGTCTTCCTACTCACCACCAGCTCGAGATCCTCCGTCCTCTTACGCCCCAGCCCGAGACCCTCCTTCGTCCTACGGTGGCGGCAGGAGCGCAGATCAGACCAGCTGGCGCCCTATGAACGATGCCGGACGCAGCGCCACCACAACCGCCGCCGCCGACGGTGGCGACACCTACACGTTCTACGAGGGTCAGACCCGCACCTTTCCGCCGTCGGACACCTCAGCCAGTCGGTCGGGGGCACGTGCTGCTGCTGTGCCCCTGCGTGCTCCCACCAGCACGTACGGTCAAGCGAGGGACCCTCCAGTCGCTTCACCGACCACCTACGGCGCGCCACCGAGGGACCCGCCGTCGCCGATGTACGGGGCACCGGCGCGGGACCCTCCAGCTCCTCCACCCACCACCTACGGCGCGCCACCGAGGGACCCGCCGTCGCCGATGTACGGGGCACCGGCGCGGGACCCTCCAGCTCCTCCACCCACCACCTACGGCGCGCCACCGAGGGACCCGCCGTCGCCGATGTACGGGGCACCGGCACGTGACCCGGTCACAGCCGCGCCGGTGGTGCAGGCGCCGCCGGTGCAGGCGGTGCCGGTGCAGGCGGTGCCGGTGGTGCTGCTGGGCCCGCCGCGGAAGAAGCACCACAAGCACCGCCGCCCGCCCAAGGGCCGCCTTGTGAAGGACACCCTGGTGCGCCAGGTCTCCTACCCGGGGCAGAGGCTGCGAAGCCCGCCACTCCGCGCGCGACGGCCGGCCAATCCCGTCATCTGGGCCAGCGTGCCGCAGGCGGCGGCGCCGGTGAGCTACGGCTCGCGGAGCTACGGCGTCGCGCGCGACCCCCCGGCGACGAGCTACGGCGCGCCGCAGCGCAGCCCGCCCGCGCGCGCGCCGCCGGCCACCGGCGTCGTGCGCGACACGCTGGTGCGCGAGGTGCTCTACGACAAGTTCCAGGGCGACTACGTCAAGCTGTTCTACAAGGGCGCGCTGCTGATCGGCGCGCTGGCGCTGTTGCCGGCCGCCGCCGTCGGCGCCGCGGCGCCCATCGGCCTCGGCCGCCGGCGGCGCGCGCTGCCGTCGGCGGCGGCGGCCGGTAGCTCGTCGCTGTTCGACGCCGTGCCGTCGGCCGGTGCCTGTGCTGCCGGAGAGCGTGCGCCGTCGGCTGCGCGCCTTTTCGCCGGAGCTGGGCGCGCTCGACACGTCCGAGTGCCTGCAGAAGGAGCTGTGCGACGCGCTGCGCCAGGTGGAGGCGTCGCCGTTCCGCGACAGCTTCCTGCTCTACTACGCCATGTGAGTCACCAACCTGGAACCGAATAAAGTCTGTCGCAGTGAGACGAGTCTATACTACTTATGACTAGTTATGGCAATAGGTCAAAAGCGCTCCCATATTTGCTCTGGGCTGCTCGTTATTTTCTGACAAGTTTTTTCAAACGAGCAGTCCTCATTATCTTGTGACTCATGCAGAGAATATGTTCCGTTGAGTATCTTTGGACTTACGTATGTTATCTATGACCCGTCAGGTGGGCCAAGTAACCTTTGACCTGTCACCATCTTCTCCCGCATCAGGCTCTCCCCGGACGTGGCAGAGAACCCGTGGATGCAGCAGGCGCTCACCGCAGCCAGGAAACGCAGCTGTCGGCTCTTCTACTGCAAGCCGACCGACTCCGCCAGCCCGTCCCACGCCGACCTGGAGAGCCCGCTCCAGCCACACACGAACAGCTCGCGATACCTGGACGCCAGCAGGGAACACCGGCTGCGCGCCGCGCGAGACGAAGACAACTCGCCTCAGCTCGACGCGAAGCGCTCACTCCACACCGGCACGAACAGCTCACTGCCTGCCGAAGCGGCATCCAACCCTCCTCTCGGAACATAGGACGCGATATGCCCTAGTGGTTATAAACGCTCTGAGCAAGGGTCAAACATGAGGGCAAGGACCTCCAAGGGGTCGCTGGCCGATGGCCAGCCGCAGAGTCTGGCTGGTGTGCGTCTGAATGAGCTGCGCTCAGATTCCCTCTGCATGCCATGTCATGCTTCTGCATGCCATGCCGATATGTGCTGTTGGTTAAGGCGACAACGCTGACGTCGGGTCTGAGAACCGCGTCGGCTGCGAGCTTGTATTGGACACCTCAGCTCCACATAAGGCTGCAGCGGCTTCGAGGTGTCTCCAGGGAGCCCCGAACGTGAAAGGTGGTTGTATTGGTGATGTATGTTTTGTGAACTTGACCATAGCTCCACCAGCGTTTGGGGTGCTCTTTTTGAAACTCCATGCGTTTTTCATAGGCACGCCATGTTGTTTGGTCATGTAGGCTACGTTTAGATTTGTGGAAAGGTCAGGCATGTTTATTGTTATATTTAGTTCCAGGTTGTTTTTGCGCTCATCTGATGTTTGCAGTCTGTTTCTGACCAATATGATGCATCATGCGCAGAGCTTGAAGCGAGCTAAATTATTGTGACGTATCGCTGATCGATAGACTGATTCACCACGTTTCATCAGAGCAGTCAGCTTTAAAAGACAGGTTTCAGCAGGGAGACCACTCAGTGAACGTGTCGCACTTCGACTGTTTTCTACCAATATCTCTCGGTACCAAGAAGCATACTTTCAATTATCCGAATGTGCATTACAGTACAAATTAGAATGCATGGTTCGTGCATTCTCTAGCCTTTTGAAAGGTGTGGACGTTTTGTATAGCATATAGGTTGAGCTTTTGGAAATATCACCGATATTCTATCTTTCATGTTTTGGTGCCGTGTGCCAACCACGACGTGTCTGTCATTCTAGCCGGCGTCGTTCAAAGGCGGATCCAGCCTTTCAGCTTTCGGGGTCAGAGAATTGAACCAGTTCTCAAGCATCTAGGACTTGACTTGAGTAGTAATTATGTATGATGACGTTGATGAAGTAGCTTTAACTGAAGAGGAAGCTCGGTGGTCAGGCTGAGAACTCTGCACGCTCTTAATGGACGACACCTCCCGGACTATAGCCGCCTGATGAGCGGGCCTCTCAACATACGGACGGCGTATTCCCCCCGCTGGCTTGACGGCGACTGAGACCGAGGTTTGTGGCTTTACTGCGGAGACCATCGGCATGCTTCTGCCCGGATGGCCGGAGGGCGAACAGCCGAACTGACTAGCAGGCAATACCGCTGACAAGCACAGGCATACTGATATCACGAGCTCTTTTGTATGTCGTAGCACATTTTGCCAAACTTGTCCCTGAATGTTTGCAAGACGTGTTCTCACGTTCTCGCGTCGTGGAAATTAATTTACCCGCAAATCGACATCGAGTTGCCATGTGGTAGTCATGAGTTACCTGTGTATACCACAAGGCATTCTCAGTGGTTGACATATCAAAGGTCTACGAGTTTTCGAGAGGCACACCATTTTTACCACGAAAAACGCCTTGAGTCGGATTCGTGAACGCGTGTTGAAGCCTGCCACCTCTGTGCAGAAGATGTAACATTGTCACTAGCGTTAGCGTTCAGAAGCACGATGTGAGATGGGCCTTTCTAGCCATGGGTGAAAGCTGTTGGCCAGGTGTCAACGGCAAACATTTACTGGCATTCAGCCTGCGGCTTCGTGCAGGCAAGTACCAGTGATGACGTCATCCGTGACGTCAGCCGTGACGGCGTGGCAAGCCGTCGCATGCCGTCTTCGGGTAGAAATGTATGATCCTGACTGTTGCTGCGGTCAGACCCCGGCGTCACAAAGGACACCGTCATGAGCGAACCCCAACACTACGCGCAGGTTAGGGGTCATTGACGCAGGACAAGCGTCTCCCGTTCCGAACACCTGTTGCATTTCGCGGCGACGGAATTCACCCATCAATGGGCTTTCTTCACCAGGCGCAACAAAAAAAAGCGGGGAAGAAGACCCGCGGCACAATTTCCGCGTCTTGGTCGGGCGCCTCTCCTCATCTGGAGGCGCCTGCCGCCTGTGTCTTCGGCAGTGGCGCGGTTTGCATCACCCCCGCCATTAGAGCGCCAGTGAAACCGGCGTCGGGCGACCGCCGCCTCCCCACGGCCGGTGCATTGTCGTTATTGTCACTGCCGAGGGGGGCGATAAGTTATTCAGATGGTGACGACATTGCGGACGCACGGCGCTGCCGGTGCGCCTCACTTCCGGAGGCCGCTGGCGAGGAAGGTGACCTCGTGATGACGTGCCGCCCCAGCGTCCAGCCGTTGGGGCAGTAAAGCAGGGGGAGGGATCCACTCGGCCTGACGGGTACACAAACAACTGTCACGACAGGGCGAAGACCAGGGGCCCAGTAATACACTTGCAAAATAATAGCTTCCGTTGAGCCCAATGAGTGTAGTAGCTCGATTTGTCCCACCGTCTAGCGTCATCTTCACAAACTTCTGTCCAACATTCGCCGTTTGATTCGCTGAGAAGAGAATTGGAAACAACGCCATTGAAGACTGAATCAACGGATAAATAGATAGTGTGCCACTAGGGGTCAGTTTCAAAAATCGTCGTGCAAATGGCAGTCATCCCAGATTTTCTGCGGTAATTCTATCCATGCATCGACATTGCCTTAAAACCTGACTATCTTGGCATCCAGGTACCGGGACCATCTCAAGCAAACGTAGTGACACGCCGCCTGTAGCCAGTGATTCATGACGTGACCCCAACCCGCCGTGGCTGGGGACGGTTGCCGCGTCGCTCCGGCTGGGGACGGGCCTGTTCCGGTGCGACTGCGGAAGGCCATTGTTGCCGCCGTGTCGTAACAATGGCCACGCTGCGACCCGGGAGTGTGGCGGAGCCGGAGCCGGAGCTCTCGCAGCGGGAACTGGAGCCGCAGCCCCCCCCCCCCTTCCCTCCCCCATAGTGGGAGCCGGGAGGGACGCCGCCGGAACAGGGAGTACCGGGACCGGGTTGCGGAGAGCGGGACACGGTACTGCCGGGAAGAGGATCTGGCGAGCGCCGTGTTACCGAATCGGGGATTTGGGATATCCAGCGTTTTGGGGACAGGGATCCAGGACTTCCAGCGCTGCTGGGCCCGGAATCTGGGTTTTCAAGAAGACCAGGACAGACATCTGTTGCTTATACGGTTACTGATCCCAAGGATGTGGGACTTACAGCATTCATAAGTCAGAGATTTTGTATTTCTGATGTTACGTGGACAAGGATCTACGGATTCCGGTGTATGTTGGGACAGGGATCTAGGATCAAAGGCTCACGTACGTAGTAGCCTTCGGGGGCACGTGATCCTCTTCCCGTTACCAAATGTATGGCATGCATCATTATCTACGCGACTTAATGTTGGCAGAAAAAAGTTTGAGGCAGGCGCTTAAAAATAAGAGGTTTGAGAACACATGATGCTGTTTTACAATACACTAGAAATTGCATATGTCTGCAGTGCGCTTAGTTTCAAGTGAAGTTTGTAGTTATTGTGCCTCCCCCCACACCCCTTCATTGTAAAATCCTGCGCGCGTCCATGTCTGGGACATTTCGTGCAACCAGCACAGGGATCTGGAGCTCTCAGTGTTGACAGGACAGGAATCTGAAATGTTTGATATTAATTGGACGAGGTTCTAGGACTTATCGTGTTATCGTGACAACGATTGCGCCCTATCGCCGCTGCTGGAGTGGGTGTCTGAGGCCACCAGCATTACCGGAACAGGGACCAGGACTTCCGGTGGTCTGGGAAAGTAACATGTGACGCCCGGTTTCAGCGGACAGAGAGTAGGCCTGAACCGCTCATACTTTTCCTGGCAAGCGTCTCATCAATTAACACAGACTTGAGGGTTTTGTTAGCAAGAGAAGCAGACTTCAACACGCTGCCTCATACGCTGCAGCCCGCAAGCCTGGAGGACCAGTGACAGCGCAAGTGACCCGCGCGCCAGCGTAAGGCAGCCTCCGTGTCGGTGTCCCCGTGGCGGCTGCTGCGATGCGAACTGCACACAGCTTGCACTTACAGCCGGGCTGTCGTAACGAGCGTTGTTCTCACTTACGGTCTCGCAAGAACCGCAACGGTAAAAATGGCAAGCCTTCGTCCGGTCGAACATTGCCGCCAGGGTTTCAAACGCTGTACCCACTTGGATAGCTGCGCACGTGGCAGTCTTACTCATCGATGTTGCCGCCTCATGCCTCATGTGTGGCTCATGGCACAAACAGCTTCCTGCTGCAAATTGCAGCTGGACCTCTCGCCTGCGCGGTTTACGGGCAGAACCACGTGACGCCCGCCGCTCAGCAGGCCTCCCCCCTCCCCTCCCCCAGTCGCGCTAAGGGTGTCACCACGACCACCGAAGGCCTCCTGCAACGTCCGTCCCAGAAACGTCGCTGGTGAAAACGCCGAGCGCTGGCGCTGCGCCTGGCCTCGGGCGCCTCTTGGACTCCTGCCGCTTCGGCCTGCGTGTCGTCGCATGCGACGCCTGTCGTTCAGACGTCGCTGCTGCCAGGTGATGGGTCACGCGTGTTGTGCCGATGGTGGACACGTGCCTGCCCTCGCTGGCACCGGCTCCGTTCCGGCCCGACCCGCCAGCGGGCTCTCGACTTTCCCGCCCGGCCTTGCGGCCTCGGGCGTAGCCCGACGGTATTGGGGCCACGTGCCATCTCACTGACGCCGTGCGGGTGCTCTGGCGGTAATGGCAAGAAGTCGTACTGGATGGCTTTCCCGGACACGTCGTCTGCAACAATTAGTGTTTACTCGCCAAAATAAAATTCGATTCCATCATAAAATGCGTCTTTCAATTGGGTCTGGACGTTAATTATCGGCATTGCCGTCACCGCGATTGAGTTGGCAGAGCGTAGTGTGTCCTGACAAGGGATTCAAATGGAAAAAGTCGAAGATAAAATGCGAGGAGATAGAAGTAACAGGGATAACAATCAAATGCTGCGGGTGAATTGGAAAAAGGTTAACATTGAGATAAACTTAAAAAGCCATGCCTCCAATCTCTTACATGGTTCAGTGTTTCTGCAGTGTAAGGTGTGCCAGGCATTTAGTTGATTTGCAATTGTCTCGCAATAAAAGTACACGTTGAAGTCGTTTACTACGAAGTATTTTGAATGCACGCTCGGTCATGAACCTTGATTACA